CACAATATTTCACATTGTTTTTTCATTGAGCTACAAGTACTTACCTCTCAGGGCACATCACAAGAAACGTGTACCTTTCACAAAGTTCAATAAAACTGTTTTTTCAGAGGTAGGAAAATTGAGGCATAGATCAGTAGCATAATCCTATGGTGGTCATTCTGAAAATATTACATTTTGCAATTTAGCAATTTTTTCACCGCAGGTTCACATAGATTTCTTCCCCACTCTTCGGTCGCTCCCTGCTGTTCTTTACCGTTCTTGATTTTCCGCTTCTGCACTTTTTCTCGGTTTTCCGTTTCGTTCCTACTGGTAGTTTCATTGTTTTGACCAATTTTTTATGCAATCATTAGATCATTCTTCATTAATTGATTGAATCATTCTTTCGTTCATGGATTCATCTTATATTCGCTCATTTTTCTACTCATTAATGCATTCGTTTATTCACTCACTCGTGGGGTTAACTTGTTCACTGATTCGTTTTCTCAGCTTTTCATCGATTTGTCTAGTTATTCGATTTGAATCTCGCAGTCTTTCATTTGCTGTTCATTCAGATCTTTTGCTTGTCAGAGAATTCGTAAATGAATGAATTTTGCTTTCCCGTGAACATTTTTTAATATATCATCATTTAAAATTGATTTGTAGAGGTTTGATCAACCTGCCGTTTTATTTAAGGCTGTTTTTTAGGAAAGCGAGGTGGAGAGTGGAGAACTCAGTGAATCGGAACTTGAAAAGAAGCGAAAGCGTTTGTTGAAGCAGCTGCAGAAGCAGAACTAGCTGTATTCGCATAGCTGCCATAGCTGAGAAAGTGGCATTTCGATTATTGTTGCAATTGTTACAGTTGTTTTGTTTTTGTCGACAGTGTTTTCAGTACGAAATTTGTCACTGATTCAGTTTATTTGGTTGCCGCATTTCGCTTTCTTGCAGTTGTTTGTCGCTGCCCGTTGTTTTCCAATTCCGCCTCTGATGGCCATATTTGGATTATATAATTGTAAATATTAAAATGTATAAA